ACTACTTATACTACTAAAAACATTTTCATACTTTACTACCACAACTGCCGTTACCAGCTACCAGAATCACTACCAGATGGTAGCTATAATTGCTACCAGATTGTGACCGGAAGTGCTACCAATTGCTACCAGAAATGCTACCATAATATATGCTACGTTACCAAAAAAAAAAAAATTCTCTCACCCCCCCCCCCCCCTTGAGTATCAAATTTCATACTTAGTTTGTGGGACTGTTCAAATGGGTCTAAGTAGTGTCTTAAGTGGCGTCCACTAATTCCATTCCACTAACGGGTCTAGTAGTGAAGGTACATGGTAAAATCGTTGATACCAAAAGTCCCTGGTCACAGCTGTTCAACCGGAGATTTTTGTTCGACTTTGGCGTTAATTTGGAGTTAGGGATAACAATACTGAAATCAAGCAATATGATTGGCTAATGGCAATAATAGAGGAGTTGATTAACTCTAAATTAACGCTAAAGTCCAATGAAAAACGCCAAAATGAGCATTTTGAACAGCTGTGTCAGGGGAGTACAGTTTTCGATATTTTGATCTGTCTAATTAACCAATCAGATTGCTTGATTCCTAAAGAATTTTGGTATTAACCCTAACTCTAAATTAACGCCAAAGTTGAACGAAAAACTCCAAAATGAGCATTTTGAACAGCTGTGTGGTGATACCCGTCCGTAYYGGTACTTGTTGATTCAATACTGTAATTGTACGAAGTCTTAAAGAAAATTAATCCTATTGACTAGATAAATTACTAAAGAATGAGATCATATTGGAATGTGAGTGTTTCTCACACAGATTTCATACCTGAAATTGACTCCGTAATTCATGACTCATTCGACAAATAATTAACAAATATGTTTTGATTGSCCAAATAATTATTTTGACCGCGCTCGACGTCTGTTCATCAACACACTCCTCACCGTAGTGAGCTTATCGCGTGTTATCTGTAGTGACGTTGATTTTACTCCTCGGATCATTACCACAGTTCACGCAGTTGCTGCTCCTGCTTTGGTGCTATATTGACTGGTCACACAGAGAGCTTGGGCGCCTTGGTACATTTCTTTGTACCTCTGATACGCATTGGATGGTGTTCCTAAACTTCTTAAACTTTGCTCCTTGGAGCGGTTTGGTGAAATAGTTGGCGACTATGTCGTCTGTTGGGCAGTATTCAACTGTAACCTCCCCTTTCTTTACTCGGTCGGTGACAAAGAAATATCAGATATTGATATGGCGTGTTCGCTTTGTACTGGAAGCTCTTCCATTTCTTTCAAGCTTGATTGCACTCTCATTGTCTTGGAAAAGGATGTTGCTGTTCATTAGCCTTAGTGTCTTCGAACTTTCATCTGATGCATTGTCGGTCATGTGTTGTTTCTGGGCTAGCAAGAAATATTGCGCCCACACGATGAACATCATGTTGTCGTCCACGCCAACCACTTCTGCCTCCATTGAGCTCTTAGTGTTAAGCTTCTGCTTTGTGCATGTTGTTATTGCTGCACCCTGGCCTAGTGTCATCATTCCTCCAGAGTGACTTCTCATGTCACTGTGAACAGTGAAAGCYGCATCAACGTGCCAGTACACATTGCCGGTCCCATCCCAACCCAGYACCAGAGGAAGAAAAGGGGTCTCCCGGAGATAGCTCATTACTCGCTTGAGCTTCTTCCAATTATCGACATCTGGTGATGTGATGCGAGTACACAGGAAAGCAATTGCTGTTTGGATGTCTGGTCTTGTCCACTTTGCCATGTACAGAAGTTTTGCTACATAATGATGGAAACAGGTTGCATCATCTTCATTCAGTTTCTCCGCGTTTTCGTTGACCTTGAATTGGTGATCTGCTGCAGGCGTCACTGCTTGTCCACAAAGACTGTCAGGGAGTCCTTGCAGCACGTCCTCCAAGTAGTCAAACATGCTCAGGATAACTTTCCCCGGAACTGAATAATCAAGCGTCATTCCCACATAATCATGTATCTTGCCTCTAGTCTCAGTTAGAGGCGACTCAATGCCAAACTTCTTGTTCAAATCTTCAATAATGCTGGTGACCACTATTGGGTCCTTGTGTGATATCTTAAGATCGTCAACATGCCACACAATGGTGCACTGATTTCCATTGATTATTTTGTTAACTGTGCATGGATCATATGGGTTCATTTTGAACCCCCACTCACTGAGCTGCCYGTACAGCTTCTCCCAGAACAGCAGTGCAACACGCAACGTCCCATATAGCTTTCTCCGCATGGGTGAATAGTGTCTTCTTTCCATTCTTATTGAGGACATATTTGCTGTACATCTTTGGGTCTATCCTGCATAGTAATTCAGCCATTGGTCCGTCTAGACGAATGTAGACATCCTCTCCCTCCGGCATATCAGTCTGCAGGAAAGCCCCAGGTATATCAACTGTTGCCATGTCATGGCCTTCAATAGCGTCTATTATGCAGGACAGTATTAGAGCGTACAGAGACACAGTTGGTGAAGTTGCATCCTCTTTGCGGATATATTCACGCTGTCTCCGTCCATCTGCACATCCTCTTCCTTTGACAGAGGTGTCCCTTTTCCTCTTAAAGACCACGAGATATGGCAGCGCTTGTTGTATCATTTCTTTAGTCATGATCTTTGGATCCAGAGCAGACAATACTTTTCGGTCATGGATCTGCTGTAGCTCCTTTAGTACGGCATTAACGCCGGCCTCGCCAAATAGCTTGATCCCCTTCTTCACTCCATACTGTGGAGTTACGGGGGACGCCTCAAGGTTGTTATACTGCTGTATAGCGTTTACAACCATCATTATTGCTTCATGTTGCCCACTGAGGCGCTCCACCACATTGCGGTACCCAGCAGTGAAAAGCAAGCAATCTCAAATGGTTGTTCCAAAGCCATTGTGTTCCCCAAACTTGTTGTGAGTATGGTGAACTGTGGGCCTAAGCCGTGAGCTTATGGGGCTCTCCATTGCCTTGGTTTCACCCACGTCAGGATGCGTCTGTACATCTTCCGCATCCTCCTGTCCAGTAGGCATCTCCTCTGCTGGTCCCTGTTGTTCATTGTTAAAGTCCTGGTTGGGATCACCATTTACACTTTCATTGGTGTCCAGCATCTCCTGTTTGGCTGCTCCTGGCCCATCCTGATCTTCTGCCACGTGGTCAATAACGTTGTTAACCTTGATTGCCTCTGGGTCTACTGATCCAATCGACTCATCTTCATCTGCATCGTCATCCTTATACATGGCATTGGAGGCGTCATCATCATCTTGGTTTTCAGCGGTATCGAGATCCAGGATGGTGGTGTTTCCATCCCCATCTCCAAACATGATGCCACTGTCACACTTTTGGGCCTCAGCAATGGCCTCGACTTGCTTTACCATGCTGTCGGTTAAAGGTGTTGAAGTTGCAGACATTATGTGGATTCGCTTGCCTGTGCTCATGTCATATGCCCAGAATCCCCCTGTTAGGGTCCCCATGGGCCTCAAGTACAGTGCGTCAACCGSATGTGGCTCCATYGTGTTGTTGGTGTCGTCAACGTGTGCCAGTATTGGCTCCATAAACTGGAACTTGCAGTCCGCTCCTGTGAGGGGTATTCCTGTCATTAGTTCCCGTGCTGAAAGAGATTTGCTCACTCCTGTTGTTCTGCAGTTTAGCCAGAACRCCACCGCATAAATTAACTCAATCACACACCACTTTGGTAGCTTCTTAAATGGTATGTGATTGAAGTGGCATCGCACATTTTCCTTCACAGTCCGTATACTTTGTTCGATTGTTGGCTYGTGCTGTCCTGCTCCTACACAGTGTAACTGCACTGGTGGATCAAGTTGCAGCAGGTCATCTCTTAGACATTCAAACTGGTTATCACCGCACACTTGAGTGACCACAAACCCTTGTGTCTTGTATTGCCCGCATAGGGCTCTAATGCAGTCAAGCATGGTGTCTGCATTGGTGTTGGTTACTGCATGTGCGGTCCTAAAACGTATGTGTCTAGATATCGTATGGATGAATCGTATCCTGTTTACAGTCATGATGTCAACATGCAGGGTGATCTCTCGGTACCTGTTGAACACCTCATAGGGGACTATAGTGAGGTCCTCCCTCATGTATCCTGGGGTCTTCCTGACCTGCTTCCCCTTTACAATACTACTAGCGTGTTTCCCGTAGATTACCTCAGCATTCAGGACATCTTGCCTGGTAACAGCTGTGTTTGCTATTAGCTTGTTGTCAAGCATTCTCATCATGTCTTTTGCAGTTGGAAACCCAAGGACCTCTTGAAGCTTTCACGCCTTGTCGGCCCATCTTATGTCCAGGTTGGAATACTGCTGTTGATTCTCCTTGACTGTCAGTATTGTCAGCACCGTAGACTTGTGTCGTTCACTCACATTGTGGTAATACAAGTTGCAAGGCAATCGYCCAAAACGTTGGGTTGTGCCATCTGGCTTGTGTACATGGATTGCATTATCAACCCAAGTATCCATGGTTACCCTGTGAGTATCCGACACTAGTGCCAGTGATAGTACGCTGGCTATCCCGTCTGGATAGAACCAGACCTGTCCGTATCCCGGAAAGTCTGCTATCTGGTCTGTATGGGCCACGCCTGAGTTGCAATAGATACTCATGTTGTCTCCATCTGGTGCTTTCCTGATGTTGGTGACCAACTCTGGGTTAGTTATGAGATTGCATGACGATTTGCTGTCAAGAAGTATCCAGTTTGGATTCACCCTGCTGGCCTTATTGCTTGTCTGTTGTGTTAGCACAGTACTGTTGGTCTTGTCAATGCTGAGCGGCACTCCTGCTGCCGGCATATCCGTTATACAGTCTTCCTTCCACTCCTCAGTTTCAACYGCTTCACTCGTCGAAACTGTATCTCTGCCACACTCCTTCATTTCATACGATTGKTCATTGCCACAGGGTGTTTCCGTATTGCTTCCTTTTGCAGCTTTCAATGCATATCTGAAAGTAGTTGTCCATCTCGTGTTCAAAATCGTCGTCGTTTTTGACAGCCATCATCAACATCTGTCTTGCAGTCAAGTTATTCTTGTTTCCTGACCCGCTGCCCGCAGAAGGCACTCCTTTGTTTACGAATGTTGTCGCTTCTTTTGATTCTTTTTTTTGTTTGTTACTGTTGCGTTGCTGCTGCTGCTGCTGCTGCTGCTGCTGCTGTTGTTGTTGTTGTTGTTGTTGTTGCTGCTGCTGCTGCTGCTGCTGCTGCTGCTGTTCCCACTTCTTGGTCTTGGTGCAGTCTTTCGCGAGCCCTTGAAGTGACTTAACATAYCTAATGCCTGTGTTGTTGTCGTGGGATATTTGTCCTCTCCCAGGCTGTATTGGTTTCCAAGTGTTTCCTTCAGTGTGCTTGTTTCTTCATCGCTGCCCTCAATTATTATTGCAGCCAGGAACTTTTGGAACGCGTTGTGACATTTCGTTTTGTCGTTATGGTCCATTTGGAGATACTCCTGGTATGTTGTCCTGCCTTCATCCTTGTACTTCTTATTGGTATCGAGTTCATGTTTGATCAACGCAGGGCAGATGTACTCCCCACCGATGGTTTCCAGGACTTCACCGTACTGAATAATTGTCTGCACACATGAGGTGCAGTCCATTYCGCGCTGTCGAGTGCATATAAGTTTCCGGAGAGATCTTATTAGGTTTGTGGGGGTGTGGATCTTTGTTTTGTTGCCTTGAACACATATGTCCCTCAACAGCTTTAGCAGCTTGACAGGGCATCAATCAGTCTTGACTCTCTCCCAGTCGTCACTGCTTTTCAGTTTCTCCTTCATTCCATCATCGATTTGTCCGAGGGCGAGTGAGTACACCTTTTTCATGTCTCTCGAGTATGTTGTGACATCCTTCACACTCTGCTTAACTTGCTCTTTGTACATGTCGATTAGTACCTCCTTCAGCTCTTTGTTCTCCACATCTTTTTTTACCCCCTCCACAATCTTCTTTTCAGTCCATTCCTCCTTGGTTGGCTTTCTGGGGGCAAAACTGCTCCTGTTGAATCGTTTAAGTGTCTCAATTGACAAGCCTACTTTSGGCATATATTTGGACCCTCCAATTGTTTGTAGTCTATCCTGTAATTCAGTGAATTGGGTGATGCTTCTATCTTCTGTGAGTACAATCCCTTCGAGGTCCCCTTTGTCATGTCCAGTGAACTTCTTGGTGGTGTCACTCTTCCTGGTGWTTCCGCCTTTGCTTTGCCTGTGTTTGTTGTTGGTGGTGACTGTCACCCAGTCAGGCGAGTTATTGTTCTACATTTTGATCGATTTGTCAAGCATCCATGGATGCTGTTGGTTGTTATATGTGGCGATATCCTTGGATTGCCTTACAGTAGTGACACACAGTTCCTTGGTTGAGTGCTACTGGCGATAGACAGAAAGATCTATTGGCTTGTTTGTTTCTTTAGTAATTTATGTTGATTCGATACTGTAATTGTACGAAGTCTTAAAGAAAATTAATCCTATTGACTAGATAAATTACTAAAGAATGAGATCATATTGGAATGTGAGTGTTTCTCACACAGATTTCATACCTGAAATCGACTCTGTAATTCATGACTCATTCGACAAATAATTAACAAAAATGTTTTATTGGCCAAATAATTATTTTGACCGCGCTCGACGTCTGTTCATCAACAGTACTATCGATCAAACTTCGGAAAAATTGTCGAGTGAAACACAAGCGGGTGTGAATTACTCATCCGTGAAACTTAGTCCGGKGTATGGTACATGTACCGTAGTACGGTACGTAGTTGTAATCCAGATTTTTGTGTTTTTCGTCGGTCTTCGATGGCCGTGCCGTCCTCCTTATCGTTGTCGTTGTCTTTGTCGTCGTCATCGTCATCGCACAACATGTTTAGAGTCGAACATGGGTATTACTTTCCATCAAAAGAAAACAATTGTTAGAAGTAGGAATTCATGCRTCATCGCCACATAGAAATATCGGCCAGATCGTCCAAATTCACAACGCCAAATGCTACAGAAAATGATTAAACTTCGTACTAGCAACGGCTGCATCTTTTCTCTTGCAGTCGTCGCCCTCTTTCTCGCGACTAGCAGTATTGGAATGGTTGGGGTGGGAGGACAAGGAGTTCCGGAACTGTATCAGCACTCGCACACCATGGACGTAGCTTTTGGATATTGGTGTTCAGAAGCGGAATTTGGATGTAAATTTCGGCTGTTTGGAAATTTAGGAGGAGAACTCTTGATGATAGATTCCGTGAGTGCATGAAGGAGAATTGAATAGAACGAAAATGAACGATGCAACGAAATCGGGCGCGAGTATTCATGTCCTCCAACTGAAATCATCAATGCATTTGGATTTTGTTTTTTGGGTACAAGTTACGAGCATGTATTTGAACCCACCGAAGAAAATATGCACTAATTTTGCTCTATTTTATTTCATTTTATTATCGATTATTTCCCATGCGATTTCCAGGGATCTAGCACCCTTGCATTTTGCGACATTCCAAATCCCAATCGAGTCTATGGAGTGAAGCGCTTGGTGTCGGATGCATCCATTACTTCTCCCAGTAAATATTTGAGCCAGTGTCTGCGTTATGGAGGAGGAACACACGGATGGTTCGGACCTTCATATGTTGGTAACCTGGTCGAACTTGACGATGAYGACGAGAGCACCCCAGCAGCAAATTCAGTTTTTTCCGTCATGGACAAGGTTGTGGGCCTGACAGGGAATTCTTGCGGAGGTATAGACGAGGGGTCGAAGGGACTGGAGCTTTCTACCGTCCGTGGAACTTGGGGTTTGGGTGGAATTCCGGGAATTGGATCAAACACCTTTGTGCTTGAGCAAGATATTGATTGGGACACATGGCCCAAGCTTGATGACAGGGAAGATAAATCTGGCGGAAGGTCTTACTGTCCTGCGACGGACACGAGAGGGTGTAAATGCCCCAAACACGTAGTCGAGCTTCCCTCAAATTTCAACTCGGCTATGGCTCGCCGCAAGGCAGATCAATGGAGTTTGAGCTGGGACGGAACCCTTGGGAAAGCCTCGGGCAAACTCACTTATGGTAAGGCCGGGCAGGTGATTGACACGAGTGGCACTGGGAACACAGAGGCCGATTCATCCCAGGGGATCCGTTCGGACGCAGTTCCGAAGATTGAGATCGTCCGGAACGAAATTCTCACCTACGAGACAACTGTTTCACAGATAGACGTCGACGGAAGCGCCCCTCTCATGGAACCTACACCCTACCACGTCGATACGGGGTCAGACAAGATCTACCTTCCACCCAATGTGTACACGGCAGTTACACAAACGTTAGCTGCTAACCCCGACGCCGTATCGGTTCTGACAATCTACTTCCCGCGTCTCTCGGGATTCGGAAATACCACCATCGATATTTCTATCACCACGAATTTGATCGAAGATGACGTGTTTAAAATGGGCAAAGAAGGTGATAGATATGTTTTTGGATTGCACTTTTGGCGTTATGTCACCACGGCATCCTTTTCGTTTGCAGGCGATTCCCCCTACCTCCAACTCCTTCCAAGGGAGAAGCACATTCTATATTCGACCGTTGATTTACCACTCAGTAGGAATGGATTGGCGGGGTCATTAACAAATGTCACAATGGATTTGACTGCATATATGTCCGGAAGCAGCAGCAAGTTTGAAACGGTCTCGACGAAAGTGGGGGCGGCGATGGCCCTGGGGTTCGCAACCCAGGCTTTTATCGGATGGGTGGCCTTTTCAATGATGTAATTGGTACATCGATGTTTTGCTTCTTTTGTGAACCAGATTCCTGTGAAGCACTATGATATCTTTGAACGGCACAAATCGCGTAAAGGAAAATCTGTTGCTAATGATATCCCACATGTTTGCGCTGTTCGGTTCGTTGTCTTGACATCCACAGGCTAAATGGAGTGCCCGGTAGTGTCCGTAAAAGCTATCATTCATCCATTATTTGTATAGCAATGTTATTTGTTGCTACGTTAGTTTTCTGTTAAGTTCCCTTGCAGTAGCTCGGGTCCTCGTATGGTCTTGTTGTGAAGAAACACGTAAACCATTAGACACATTCATTATTTCACAGACACTACTATAGCCATGGTGTATGTTCATTGTTGATTATTTTCTTTATGGCGAAAGATTGGAAGTACTTTCTAAAATGTTGCATCGTTCAGTACGAACGCCAAAAATTTTTCTACAGTTTTTGCTTGCCCTCGCAATCAAAAGGCAAGTCATGGCAGTCATATGTACTTCTGGAGAAATTCTGACGAGAGAGCAACCATTCCATGCATACAATGAACCAACAAAATTGTGGATTTACTCAAAATTAGAAGTTACTTTCAGCAGATTGGATCCATGCGGTTTCAACTTTTCTCATCGTGTCTTACTTTGAAATTCCATAGTACATGGTACATCCAAGGATGGTAAATCATGATACTCCTATTTCGAAAAGAACAATCAAGAAAAAGTCAATCTCTGACTGGGGACCAATCCTTTTCGTATATGTGGCCGCTCTTAATCACCCAAACCATTTTGATCTACTTTTGTAGGCTAGTGGGTACAGTTTTCTGATTTCCCATTTTCCTGCCCTTTATTTCAATCTAGCCATGAATTTGAATCCCAACCTGCACTATGCTACCTCTACGAAAATCATTTACCACTCGAGATGACGGAAGAGAGAATCTACCATTACTAATCGAAGCAACTCCTTTCCCTTGACACATACAGCGTCCATCGAATCAAAGGCGTCGTACCAACGAACAACACAATAATAGTAGCCCTTCTTACACTCATGTAATAGTATTTCGATGTAGTTTTCATGCATATTCGTTATAAATTCCTGTCAGTACGTTTTGATATCGTAGCCTCGAGGTTTAATCATATCTTGTCCACCTTCGCAAAAGCCCCCCCGCCCAAATGCTTGCGCAGTGCTTCTTCTCGATCCTTGACCAGATCTGCTGCCTTCTTTTCTTTTGGTTTCATCATTCCCGAAAGAATCGATGAAAATTTCTTTTTCTTCTTTGTCTTCTTCAAGGTCTTTTTCGCTTTARATGGTAATTGCTTTTGAGCCTGGAAGGGTTTCTTCTTTTTCGTGTTCTGAATGGCTTTGGAATTCGTCGTGTTTTCCCTCGTCTGGTTGTCAGCAGCGGCGACCTGAGCGGCTGGGGCTTCGTGTGCACAGGGACTTAGAGTCGCGGAGGCAAGGGGTCTCTTCACTGCTGTTGATGCGATATTTGTGTCCTTTACCGCAGTTGGTGTTCCATTCTTGGGTTCTGCAAGTGGAGAGGCCCGGGGCGGCCTAGCAGCGGATGCGGTGTGTTCGTGATTCGACGAGTCCATCGTTCCTCGTCTCCAGATAACTGATCTGTAGTGTAATAGATTGGTTTCTTTGGGTTGGTTTATTTTCTGCTCTAAACCGGGTCGTGGTCTTGTACAGAGTCAAAATTACGGAGATCAGCAATTTACTTCCAGTTACGCGTCAGGTTGAGAGATCTCTGACATGCAAGGGTTTAAAAATAATGTCAATGATGGAAACACTCCTATTGAATACCCAGTTTCCAAGTGAAATAGTAAATTGATAAGAAGCCGTCTATTATTGATGCAAATCAAAGATTGTGCGATATTGCTTGGTACTGTATTAGAGAAATTGCGTTCAATGTCTCCTCAGATTTCTTTTCTTTTCTTTTCTTGCGTTCTGAGCTGCGTATGGACAGATTCCATGGAATGTGTGTTAAGTCAGTCGTCCGGCCAGTAAGTACGAGTACGAACTCGGCAAGTACGAGTAGTGAACTTCGTGCTCGGGACGACGGTTGGAGTATTCTCAATTCTTTCTGCTTCCAATACTTTTCTCCTTCGACGCACAAAAACGGTCAAATCCCGGTATCATAATTATTAGAGAGAAGCCGAAAAAGGACGGCGTATTTTAAGGAACGCACCGTTTAGGTCCCACGGTGCTGCCTTCGGTTTCCAAAGAACGAAACGACTACACGTGGTACGTCCAACGGTACGTACGTATCGGTAGGAACCATAAGTATTTGTGGTTTATTTTCTAATACTGTACGATGACTCGCATTCCTACCACACGGAAGCAGGGTCGTGTTTACGAATTCAGCTAAAGTTCCCGGAGACCATCGGATAAAGTACTTCTGTACGGTACGGTAGGGTACGTTACGGTAGAGTATTGGTCTTTCATGTACTGAATGTAGTACCGTACGTATTCACACCACTTCTACTGAACTTCCGATATTTTTGAATTTTCTTTGTAGACGTCGTCTGGTCGTACCGGTACATCGCCCGTGTGCCGTAGTTCCTGTATTTTGTATTTTCTCTACCGGTACGATTAAATGTCAACGTCATGTTTTCTGTTTTGACAGTAGGGTACGTACCGGCCGGTACGGTACGAGGTACGAACCCTAATGAGGTGGAGACAGGTCCGGAACCAGTACAAATTTCACACGGCTCTACAGAGGGAACAATACACCTCATTTGGSTTCCCGATTTCAACCTGTCGCTAGATTAAAAAACCATKAAGTATTTTACATCAGAATATTTGGTAGTACTAATTTGTACGTAGGATGCTACAATACTGGTATGGAAAACTCCAATTTAAAAAACACTTGTTGGTTGATTCTTGATCTGAGAATGCCGGATCCCCTTCTTCTTGTTACTATTTTGATGAAGTTGTTATTCCAGTATACTATGTGCTATCTGTGGGAGTGACTATCTAATAGTGATATAAATCGTGTGCTACTAGTAAAAGAAAAGTGAGTCAATGCTCTTATCRAGGATCAATGAACTTTGAAATCTAAGACCAATCAGAATGAAGATCGAGTGATGTGTGGATCAAATGAGTTGAGTCACTCGCGCTCGTGAATCAACTAAGTCATGTCAATCATATGGATCCATTGGATAGAGCGACGAGTCATATATGTATGATGTGTATRAATCATATATATGTGTCATATGTATGTGTCGTAGATATGAATCATACTCACGATCTGATATCCTACAGACAGCACCATCCCATGATCTGTGATGTGTAAATCAAGCAGATCATAGAAAAAATAATGAGGAAGGAGGATATCAGTTGGGTGGAACAATGGCAAAGTGCCCGAAGAGTCAGCGTACATGACAATTGTGAAGGGCCCAACCAAGAGGTTTAGTGAGTGCATCTGATGGATTGATTTTCCCCCTGATGAACTGCATATTGATGTATAAGTCTCATTTCCAATCTTGTATTGCAAAATATGGTATGTTGATGTGACGTGAGCATTCAGTCGGGATTCCTGAGTTTACAATTTTAATTGTAGAAACGTTATCTTCATACAACATTGTTGGTTGTTGTTGAGGGAATCCCAGGTCAGCAAGAATTGACCAGAGGTACAGAACAATTTTTGCAGCAGAAACAGCRGCATAGAATTCGGCTTCAGTGGAGCTCTGCGCTGTTTGTGTTTGGGTTTTCGATTTATACACAATGGCAGCATTTGCRAGCATGATTGCAAATCCGGTGATGGACTTTTGCTTTGGCTTAATATTCGTGTATGCAGTGTCAACTATGCAAGTGATGGTGACAATACTAGTAGGTAAGGGTGGAAATCRTGGGAGATTGTCYGCAAGGGGAATCAGAKAATYGTCAAAGTTTCCATCTGGGAGTTCRTTGTCTTGGAATATTGTAGTTTTGCAATATCGTAGACCCCATGTTTTGGTCCATCAAAGGTATAAAGCTACACCTTTGAGGTACTTGAAATGCAGGTTGGAAGGGTTCAAAGAAAATTTGGACAAYGTGGATACAGTGAAACCAATGTCGGGATGACAAACATTGTATGCATAAAGGATTTGCCAAGGAGCAGAGTGCGATATGCAAAGCCRTGGTTGGYTTTCAATTTCTTGTGTTCTGGAGATCCTTCAGGTGGCCCATCTTTGTSAAATATTTGATCAAGTGCTTTTTCAGGTAGAGGGGCAGTTGGGTGGCTAGTCAATTTGTCTTTGGGTGTTGTCCAGCTATGAGATCGGACAATGCAATCAATATAGTCTTCACAAGAAATGTTGATGTAGTGTTTTGTTTGTTTGATATCGACACCATTATATGATGTAGCAAGGCCAAGGTTCTTGAACGGGATGTTCTTTTCTTTTGGGAGCTGCATCTTCTTGCCAATGATGTCATATATTTCATTTGCAATAGTAGCATTTGGTGAGGATATCAAGAAGTCGTCGACTTGTTGCAACATTAGTATTTTGGTCTCTATAGAATGTTTGGTAAATACATTTKTCGTGAGTTGTCATTGTGAATTTGAGTTGTGGAGAGAAATTTGTTCTTCCCATAGTAGCCTGCCAGATTCAGGGTGACCTTACAGAGCGTGCTGCACGGGGAGGACATGAGTGGGATCAAGTTGCTTGCCAAATTTCCATTTGTACCAATCTGCATATTGTGCGTCCATTGTAACAAACGTTGGTACTTCAGAAGGTGGGGAATGAGCATATGCATCTTTTGCATCACCAGCATAGTTTGTAATTGAGGATAGCAGGAGTAAGGGCAAAGAATAACCCTTGTACTGGTTGTTCTACACATGAGGAATAGGTAGAGGCAATTGSAAGGAATAATGGAGCAGTGCATTTGGATCCATCACAACAGTTTCAAGATCACCATTTTCCAGTTTTGTGAACTTGGTATTGCCAATGGGGTTGCAGCAGGATTGATTTTGGAGGTTGTGGTGTTGGTTTTCCATACATTTCAAGGTCGTGAAATTGGTCAAGTTGTTTGCATTCTGCATGTAACCATTCTTCCCAATTATCAAGTTTCTTGAGTTTTTGACGTGTGAAATGGCCAAGTGCCTCTTCTTCTTTAGTAGTCATTTGCAATGCAAGGGCATTGATTGTGAGTCATATCATTTTGTCTGAGACAAGGTGAGATGGGATATGGAGACCTGTATGCAGGGTAGTGATGGTAYRTAAAGSAGSGTAGTWTATTTTGGCAGTTGTRTTGAATTTGTCTGTTGGTGCATGTAAGTTRTAATCGTCAACTTCTTTCCATCGYCAAATACTTGTAGCTTTGGCAACTGGGGCAAATTGAATGTTGAATGTGGTGACACCATTTTTGGCCAAGGATTCAAGTATTTCAATAGCTGATTGTTTACTAAAGACAGGTTGGTTATTGATGGAGACGATAAATGCACCGCAGACTTTATTTTKTGTACTTTTCCAATTGGAGAACATGGATGTGGCACTTGATTTCTTGGCAATATCTTTCAGGAACGCACAGCCGTTTAGTTCATCTTTGTCAAGTTGGAGGCCAAAAGTGCTGGGACTTTTTCATTTGACACAAATTTCTTTGTCAAGGATATTTTGAAATGGCGATATATAGAAACAGAGGTCATTATCACCAATTTTGGTGTTGCYGGGAGGTATCATAGAGCCATTTTCAGAATGTTGTAAGTGGACAATATTTGGTGGAATGTCTTGCGTTGGTAAATCATTCATGCCTTTGTCAAAGCTTGCATGAGAAGCAATTTYTACACGGTTTGTTTTGACGTCATACCAAAGGATATTCTTTGTGGTTTGGGGAGATATCCAAGAAAGATACCTTTTTGGGAATTGTTTTTGAATTTGGCTGAATGGTGGCTGGACGKACGTGCCCAAACTCAGCAACCAAAGTTTTTAAAATGTAAATTTTATTTCTTGCCTGTGGCTAGTTGCAGTGGTRATTTGGTTTGTGTACATTGAGGTAAAGCATTCAGGATTCGAAGGGAATGATGAAAAGCATAGGGCCAAAATTTAATTGGGAGATTAGCTCCAGAGAGAAGACATTGYATTGGGTCAGCAATTGTGCAATGAGCTCGTTTGACGGGTCCATTTTGATGAGAGRAATYGGTGCCTGTTGGATGTATTTGGTATCCTTTCTGGGTGAAGAGTTTTCTGACTTCTGGATTATGATATAATTCACTGCCTTGGTCCATGTAGACGTATTTGTCATTGCAATTTGATGTGTTGATATCCAAAAAAAAATTAAGCCAGGTAATTGGAGATGCCTTTGAGAGTCAAGTATCGCCAACTAAATACCGGGTGAAGTGATTGGATATAAGGATCCAACTTGTTTTGCCATTGACGCCTTCATAATCTTGTGATCATGAAGCATCTTTTGATTATGTGCCACTAAAAGAGAAATCAATAGAGAGACCTTGGTAGAGGATAGTGGAGGAGTGCGTCAAATTTTGGCCAGCTGGTGTTTTGGTTTGTTTAGATTGAATGCAAGTAGGGCATTGATCCAGGATTGGATCATTGTGTTTAAATTTTGGTATACCATYGATAAATTTATGCGCGTTGTACAGGTAGTCATYGTTGATATGCCCAAGCTGTTGGTGCCATAGAAGTTGTTCMGTTTGTGCTTTAATAGTGCATATTGGTGTCRCATCAAAGACCCAATCATTGAYGGGATGATTTGGAAGGTCTGAAGGCAATTGATGCATTTTGTGGTCAATATGTTCATGGGCACRTTTTTGATAGACATGTATTTTGTTGACAAGTTTTGGCAAATTGTTCATCTTCTTGAAGTGCTTTCTCAAGGGAATTATATGTGGTTGCCCAAGGGTGATGTGAAAGGAGATCAGGCATTATCAATGGTTGTGTGTATGATTTACCAAAAATTTTCCCCAATAGCTCTGTCTGGAGGGTGAGACAAACCTTGTGCTGGTGTTTTTTCTGACTAGTAAAAACTGTGCAATTTTATTGTACTCATAACCTATCTTAGATTCAATCCACACATTAGGTTTCGTACCTCGTACTTGTATATTCAGGAAGATCTTCTAGGAAGTATTCGTACACAAGTATCCACCACAAACAGTGCAAAGGYGCACTGTGTCCTGTACAAACTCTCATCAAATGCCTAAAAACACTCCTGGACGCCAGCACACCACTCACCACACACATCAGAGCATGTTAGTATCCCAGTCCCACCTTGAAACCAGTCCCACTCTGGACCTGTAATAGAAAGAGTGCAATCCAGACTGCAGCAAGAGACCTCAARCTCCAYGATACCAGCATCATGCCAGAYGCTGTAGGAACCCACAGCTTACAATCAGACGGGGCCATGGCAATGTAGCCTGCATTGTCAACCTTATCTCTGCTTCAAACAACCAACCTCTGTAATACACYGTGTCACACCTTCAACGCCCGTCCACCCCAAAATTAGCTCATAATCCACACATAGGAYAATTGCAAACCAGCCAACACCCAACCCCTTTSTACCTACCTGACCTCAAACCATGTTTTGCCCAGCCTCCAGAGCTGTCAGATAARTGGAAATTCTTGCCATCTTGCACTCAGTCCCAGCAAACATCCACCCACACCCTGTCAAYGAGGCAGCCATCCTCCGTGACATCAACTTTGCYGGCRCCCTGATGGACCTCTAGGACACTATCAACAGCAACCTGRAGCTCCTTCCTGGCACCAATACCATTGTTTCTGTGGCCCTCCGCACCTTCCTCCTCCCTCAAGCCAGAGACATCCTTGTCCAGGACAGGCTTGAGGCAGCCTCCCCTCAGGGACACCAATGCCTGGACACAATGCCCTCCGCCAGTGCAGCAGCCCAAAAAACTTTGCYCCAGGACTCAACCCAGAATTCCTTGACCTCTCTCAAMACAGCAGCAGCAGTGGCARCAATGGCGCCAGCAACAACAACAGCTCCAAYGCCCACWTGCCCCCAGCYGACCCAGAACAGGCAGCAAACATCAACCAAGACACCGCAAACACTAACCAGGAACATGCCACTGTCGATTCCAACCAAGACAAAGCCTTGCCAACCCTGAGACTCCCTTTACAGGCAAAATGCCCCYAAAGACATTGACCAGCCAGGAGACAAAGACCCCAAGCTTGGCAGTAATGACAGCCCCAACCACCAGCTTTGCCACACTGGCCTCTATCACAACATTTCCATGATCTGCAACCACATTGCTCYAGCCCCACACAGGGCCAYACAACTGCTATACACTGCAGACAATTTCTGCAGAGCTAATTTCCCCTATTTTCACAATGCGCCTCAGCAAARCCTCACCTGTTTTAGCAAATTGACCCACCCAATGAACAAGTGCATGGCCCTTGCCACTTGGTGCCTAGGTAACAGCAACACAGGAACCAAAGATTTCTTTGACACCAGCCAAAACTGCTGCTATAGATTTGATCACCACCTGGCACCAAACCCATCTGGCCTCCTRCCYTTCCCCAGGGAATGGAATTCCCCATTTGAGGGGTACCCCCTCCCCACCCACCTCACCTTCAACCACCTCATTGTACCCAACTACTTTGGCTGGCAAGGAAAAATTGGCACCACCCTCCCAATGGCCTCACCAACCCAGTTGTCAGGGAGGTGGCATGCCAAGCAATCACCAACAGCAGCAACAGTAAATCCACAGTCCCCACCACCACACCACCTTGGCATTGTACTATGCCCCCTGCCACCTYCTGGTAGTAGCCCGGCGCCCACGGGAACAGATCACAACCCAAGGATGCAGCCAATATACCTATCACATYGGTGATCTCCTCGAATACCACCTCCTGTCCCCAATGGGCAATACAGCTGAACTCATGCAGAGCAAACTTGGCAGCAGACTCTTCCCTGTGTGRCACAATGGCCACCAACCCAGCCAATATGAGCACTGCAAGCACCTCTGTATCCTTGTCACCTAGTATGAAATCCGCTACAAAGCACCCACAGCACGGGAAAAATCCAACACTGACAACAGCTCCAACCGCACTGATACCAGGACCTAGAATTAACACCCCACCTTCCCCAGTACCGCTGGAACACAATGGGCCTACCACCAAACAAGTAGGTGTTTCAATGGAGACAAACCTGTTGCAAAACAGTAATAGGTCAACAACATCAATATGCCAACCTGTAAACCCCAGGCCATTACACATTTACACATAGATCTAATCACATTAGTCAAATCCTAAATTTGGCAAACACTTAGAAAGTTTGAATAGTTGACCTCTTAGATCCTTACAATCTGAGACCACAAAGGTATGAACATACGGCACCACAGTGCCAAGAGGCCCAGAATGTCCTTTGGCACCAGTCCAAGAGCAATAACAGAAGAAGGAAAGACAAGGCTACTACAATAACTCAGCGACGTTACGAAACAACACAATACCTGTTACCTTAAGCTACTGTACCCAAGACTACTACTACTCTGACTAAGTAAAGAATAGTTATGCTCATCTCCTACTTAGTATACCAGTACAACATGACACGTGCCCACCACTACTACAAGAAATAATCAAAGCAATGTACTCTTGCCTACCAAAAATTGACTTAAAAGCTACTCTTAAGCTACTTTAAAGATACCTAAAAGTTACTTTAAAGTAGCTTTAAAGTAACTTTCTGGTTGCCCCTACCAAGTAGAAATTATACTATACCTGCTGAATTCTACATAAAGAACAGCTACTTTAAAATAACTTTAAAGTAGTACTACTAGCTWAAAAGTAGCTTTAAAGCTACCAAAAAGCTACTTTATTTCTAACTTTTAATCCCCTATGTTGTATTAGTAGAAAGGGYTATTATTCTGATTAACATGATAACAATCAGTACTACTGGGCATTGGATGTACACAAGTACCACGTACCTCTGTAGTCTTACATAGGTCTACTASTAG